ATGCCTTTGAGCTTGACGTCAGGGTAGCTGAAGCTGCTACCCATGGCCGACTTGAGCCGATGGCCATCCCGCCGGCTGGGAGGGGCACGGTCAGGGCTGGGGGGCACTCCGTTGTGCTCCTTGACCCAGTTGGCTTCAGCAGCCCCTTCAGGGGAGTCCCCAGTGGGCAAGCAGGGGCTGCAGCCCCGCACACAGGCTCCACAGCGCTGGAGGCAATCCCGGCAGCGGCGGAAGCAGAACGCAGCCCGGCACCAGTCCCACACCCAGGGTCGCCAGAGCAGGCAGCAGGCTGGGGGCTCAGCAGCCTGCTCAGCAGAGCCAGAGATGAAGGTAAGGCTCTCGGGTCCATGGTGGCCGGGGTCCTTGGGGTCTGGCCTACGGGTGCGGCGGCTCGGTGGCGCCCGGGATGGCTCGTCATATGTCTCCAGGCATAGCTCCGTTGGCCGCTCCCAGGGTCCCAAGCGTGGGGGCCCAGATGATGGGCGGGGGTGTCCAGGGCGGGGCATGGCTCACCGCATGGTTTGCCGTAGCCAGGCACCTGTGGGGGAGAGGCCAGGAAGGAGTCAGGATCAGAGGTCAGCGGCGAGCTCCTGCGCTATGACCTGAGGAGCTTCAGACTTCTGGTTTCTGAGAGCTCTGTGATGTGGATGGGCCCAAGTATGCCCACGAACCCTGTCTAGTATCCCCTTGCTCCCCAGAGAGGAAGTTCTCTCTGTGGTCTAACTATGTATCAGAATCTCCTGGGACTTCACACCCATTGGGATGGTTACTATTAAAAACAGAAATGACAGGCATTGGAGAAGATATGGAGAAGTTGGAACCCTTGTGCATTGCTGGTGGGAATATAGAGTGGTATGGCTGCTGTGGAAAACAGTGTGGAGTTTCCTCGAAAAGTTAAACATAAAATTACCATCTGATCCAGCAATATTACTTCTGCATATATACTTAAAATGATTGAAAACAGGCACTCAAACAGATATTGGTACACCAGTGTTCACAGCAGCATTATTCACAATAGGCAGAGATGGAAACAACCCAAATGTTCATTGATGGATGAATGAATAAACAAAATGTGGTCTATACACACAATGGAATATTATTCAGCCCTAAAAAGGAATGAAATTCTGATACACGCTATAACATTGATAAGCCTTGAGGCATTACACTACATGAAATAAGCCTGACACAAAAGGACAAATATTGTATGGTCCCACTTAAATGAAATATCTAGAACAGTCAAATTCATAGAGACAGAAAGTAGAATGGTAGTTGCTGGAGATGGGGGAGAATGGAAAGTTAGTATATAACGGGTAGAGTTTCAGTTTGGGAAGATGAAAAAGTTCTAGAGATGGATGGTGGTGATGGTTATACAACAGTGTGAATGTGTTTAATGTCACAGGACTATAACGTTAAAATTACTTAAAAAAATTAAAATCGTAAATTTTATGCATATTTTACCATATAAAAAGAAAAATCTCCTGGGATCTCACTTTCTGGGCAAGTCTCCCTGAGTTTCTTCCCACTGTTGGTAAGCCCAGCAGCACAGAGCCTCTGAGGCTGCTCAACAAATGCCTTTCAACTGACTTGCTACAGAACCTGATCATTACCACCTTCCCTTTCTTCCCCTCCTCTTTCAAATCAGACATGGGAATCAACAGGTCCCCGGTCAATGTTTCAGTATGGCTCAGATTTGCTCTCCTATCAACATTTAACATCAAGCACTGTTTTGCTTCCTTTGACTAGACGAGAAAGCCAAGCCTCAAAATACATCTTCTTTCCCTTTTCGACTTGGTTGCTAGCAAGCTCAGAGCTAAGATTTCACTGAACCTGGCCCTGTGTTAGGTACAGAAGAACCAAAAATGAATGAACTATAGGCGCTGTTCCTGTGATTCACACATGGTTTTGTAGG